TATTTTTTTTCATTTAATAACACTTTAGATTCTGAAGAAAGTTGCGAGCTTGAAAAATAACAGTTAAACTCTATGGTTAAGGCAACAAAATGAAAACTGAAATAAAAATTATGTCATAATGCAAAAACTATATTTAAGCTGTCCTTACAAATTAAGTGCAACATCCAATAAAAGCAAACAATAAAAGAGATGGGAAAAAGTGTCGAACTAGAATATGATGATGAACTGAACACATTCATTTTTACCTTCCTCTCCCAAATCCTAACTGATGAAATGGCAGAATGTATAGCTATATTTGTATCTGCATCTCTATCTATATCTGTGTCTATATCTGTATTGTATCTGCCTATCATCAATGTATCCACCTATGTCATCTCTATCTATATCTATGTCTGTATATATTTCTATATTCATATTTCCATCTGTTAGAGTTATAGATAATTCTATCTATATTTACATATGTATATGATTAGAACCACAAATGCATTGGAAATCATATTTTAAAAGTGAAGCATTTCTGAAAGACAGGAAGCCAATGCAATCAGACATTAAGTGACGCCAAATACAGAGGAAATAATAGTTAAAAATACATTTAGCAGAAGACATTTATGAAAGAGAAACCCTGAGAAACTCCTAACCCAGATCATAGGTATCAATGCTGTACAAATGCCAGGAAACAGAATATGACTTTAATTCAGCACAGGACATGCAGCTACAGTTCCCTTCCTCTTGTCCTACTTGTCAGAATTCACAAGTGATTTCAGCTCTTTCACTTTCTTGTACTCCAGAAATGATATTTAAGTGTGCTCTTGTTTGAGAAACATTTCCAGGCTTGGTCCTTTCCTCTTACATAAAGAAATAAGATAAATAGTGAAGGTGCTTTATAGACTCTCATGTGTAATAAAAATGTTACTATTGTTGTCTTACCACCACGTCTGCCGCCACCGCCACCAGCACTCCTATCGTGACTACCATCACCACCATTGCCACCTATCCAATTAATTCAACTAGCCAGGTCTCCCTGGCTTCTCTCTGCCTGATAATGGAAACCACTGGACTCCTTTAAACTTGGACTGATTCTGACCTCTGGAATTCTGACTCTGACCTCTGCATACTCTTTGGCTTTGACCTGGAATCAATGACTCTCAGGTATACACAGAACTTATACTAATCACTCACTTCTTGATCCCCCTGTACACTGGTCCCCACTGAATCCAGTCTGATGACAAAGAGCTCATTAGATCCCAATGCAGCTACTTCATCACTGGGCATCTACAATGGTCAGAAAATGCCTCTTTTACTTTGAGGCTCAAAAGACATTGCTTATAAGCATCAAGTTACCTTTATTGCATTTCTTACCATGAGATTTGTAATATTGAGAAGGTCAAGCAGGGCCAAAGTAGGTTCCACCGGAAAATAAAAAAGGAGAATCTAGTGGTCTGGTTTTATTTGGGGGAAGTAAAATAAATTTTAAGTTTTCTATGGGATTCAGCCTACCTTAATGATAAGAATCAAGCTCCAATCAGGAACAGAATATACCTGCATCTGGAAACCTCTGTCTCACATCTCTTTGCAAATTCTAAGCATTATAGTAATTGGAAATCGGACAGATATGGAACCATTCGATGAGAGGGAATGAAATCTCAACATCCAAGGGACTTGATTATCAAAGTATTCATCAATATTCATAAAATAATCTCCATTCAGAAACCAAGTATCAATTTGTTCTATTGGTGTTATTTTTCAAATCCTCAAATGTGAGCCTTCCTTGTGACAGGCCTCACTTTTCTCCTATGTCCATATATCATACATAAATCCTAAAAGCTTTCCTTGTAGGAAGCAATTATTTCTTTTGTTTCTGTATCATCAATAAATGTTAATAAGATCATTCTCATTACTCCAGTAAAGAGTCTCATTTTCCCAGTGATAATGAACTAATTAAGATTGAGCTCTTGACATTGTTGTTTTCAAAAACAGTTTTGAGGGGGGAGTCCAGGAATCTTCTGATATTATAATCTAGATTTTGTCTATAACTAAAATTTTCTTGGGAGATGTTCCGTAGCTTTCATCCAATTCTAACAAAACAAATCAAAACAAAACAAAAAAGCAAAACAAAACTATGAGCCCAAAATGTTTAAAATTACTGCTTTGGGTGGGGGTGAATATGCAGTGTGAATGTTTAAAGTTGAAAATCTGTCTTTTTCTATGATAAATTATTCATTCGTAGCCATGTAACAGTAAGGCTCTTTTGAAGATTCCAATGTTTTTGGACCCTTAAAGACCATTCACAATCTTTTTTATTATGGAGATCATATACATTTAAGCACATTTTCAATGTATCAAGAGAGACTCATTCTGATTGAAGCTTTTTTTTTTTTTAAACAGAGGAAGCATATGATATTGCTAAAAGAGTCCTAAATGGAATCAGAAAACTGGCTAATAGTTCTAGCACTGGCTGGCTTATGTGACCTTGAGCAAAGTCACCTCGGCTCTTGCGGCTTTTGTTCTCTCATGTGGAAAATGTGTGAATGAAAAGAACCGCTTGAGAAAGTCCATTGCATGACAGATATTTATGCGGGGATCTCAGCTCCAGATCTCTGAAAGTTGGGGCCTAGACCTTTCCAGTGAGTGAGGGACAATCTGTTATCACTGTCCTCAGGTACATACTTCACTGACAGTTGTCCAAATGCTATTTGTTACCCCATCATTTTCCAGTGTGTATGGCCTCTATCTTTCAATTTTTCAATAGTATGTTGAAATTATATGGTTTATTATTATTTTCCTTAATCTTAACGGGAAGTTGCTGGAGAAATCTGATGCCTTAGTCCTCTAGAAACTTCCAAAGTAGCTGTGACTTTATGATTGAGACAAACCTATACAGACATGGCAATACTGGAACTCTACAAGCTTAAACCACCTGTAAAGTGCTAATGCACAGTCATTATTGTGTATTTAACAGCTGTTCAACTAGCTTCTGTCATCTTTATTTTCTTAATCACATTTAAACTATGAGGCAAAAAAAGAATTTATTATTTTTGCATGTTTAAAAGTATGTTTCTATGGTAATCTTACATAATTTTTAAATGAGAGCAGTAACATGGTAGAGTAAAAACTAGAAGGTCTGTGAAGACAGACTTCAGTTCCAAAAATGCCTCTGTTGTTTGCTGGCTTTGTAGCCCTGGCCTGTTACTTGGTCTTTCTGAGTTTCCATTTTTTTTTTCCTTTGGAAACAGAGTAGACATACAGTAAGTGTTAATCACTTGTTGATCAACCATAGAATACTGTCCATTAGGATGTCTGGGAGATAGATCATTAAACACTATAACCTTCATAAGGAAAGGTGCAAAATAGATGAAGCTCTCCATTGAGTTTTGTTGTATTATCATTAAGAGCTACTACCAGGCTGGGTACATAGAAAGCTCTCAATAGACATTGGTTGAGTCTGTTCCTTATTATATGGTGAGTATCTTGTAAGCCACACTGACTCCAGGCTTTTAAATTCTACCATCCATGCCAGTTAATATAACTGATAATGTGAAGGACTGACCCTCCTCCTCCGTTACTACATCTAGTCCAAAATTACATATTATTGAGGGAGGGGCCAAGGAGTGCTCCACTCACCATTGTTGCTCTCACTATTGTCCTGTTATTCTAAGACTTCCTTCTGTACCTCAGTCAAATGCTGCCGCTTCCATTGCTGCTAACATCATGTAATGCTGTCTGATATTTTATACCCAGGCAACATTATCTAATCATTGCAGCTCTATTAGTTGTAATATAGGAATTTATGGGCATTTTAATGAGCATTTTTTAACTGTTAAGTAAGAGGGGGCATACTTTATTGGCTATTAGTTTTTTCAATGAACTGGTTGTTCATGTACTCACCCATTTTTTGAATGTTTGTTTGTATTTTTTAATTGTCTACATTTTACAGTCACTGTAGCATACATCAGCACATACTGAACATTTTAGAATTTACAAATATATTTGCAAAGGCCAATATCCAGGAATGGAAAACTGAAAAATTTTAATAATGCTAAGTCATCATTTTGGGTGATTACAGTGGTATTTGCATTTCAGGCTTAAGTGAATCTACATACCTCGAAGCCACTGAGTATCTTGAAAACAAAAGTTGCAAATGTCACAGAAAAAAAAGTCATGAATTTTATTAGGTTTGGATAATTACATAAGGCTTGGATGATTTTCCAAGGTTCCAAATATGAGTAGCCAGTGGTCACTTATTCCTGTTTTATAAAACCTAGAAAAGGGATCATTTTGATATGTATACTTAAAGTTGTTTTTTTTTAAATAAACATGTACTTTAGAAATACAGTAAATAAAAGATATTGAGAGGTTGAGTTAAAAACTTACATCTGGACCTAATTTCCAAAAAACACTTTCTAAACAAGGTCCACTTTATACTCTTTAATCCCTTACATGTACATAGTACCATGTGATGTTCAATGCACTTTTGTGCAATTTTCGTGCTTTATGTTTTCCCTCCAAATGATAAACCAAGACTTAGAATTTAAAGCATATATGATAGATAGAAGACTAAGAACAGCGTAACAATAATAATGGCCTACTTTATTGAGTGGTTACTATATTCCAGTAAAGCCCTTTATTGAGGGCTTTACAACTAATAATCTGCAACCAGCCCCGGGAGGTAGCTATAATATTATTATTACTTCTACTCTATTTTCAAAGGTTTAGCTAGTCGATGTTGGCACAATTTTAACATAGGTAGTCTGATTCCAGAGCCCCCACATACTTTTAATCGTGATGGTATACATTCTACTTCCCAAAAGATATTAAGATTTTCTTCTTCCTTTTCTTCCCTTACCTCACCCCCTTTCTTCCTCTTTTCACCAGTAATGCTGAGAAAACAAAGCAAAACATAACCCCAAAGTTAGGGTTAGGATTAGGGATTCACGCTTTCCTCCATTAGCAGAATTCACTGGAATTGGAAACCATGTGAGCAAATTTCTCCAAAAACTTACAAGATCCAGGGCGGCTGCCAGGATGGAAGCATCAGGAATGGTCCCTGGCTCACAGCAGTTTAACAAAAATTGAAAGCGTTTCATGCCCTGTCGGATTGCTCCAAGATTCACCACGTTTTTGCTTTTTCCGCCATCTTGGTTGGAAGACAGATGGTCATCAAAACTGTGGCAACCTGTCATGGAGGAATGAAGGAAAAAGGGTGTAAAGAATCACAGGTTTAAAAAGGGCCTCAAAATTGTAACAATGTGCTTTCTCTAGTGCTGGCCTGAAAAGACTCTCCCTAACCGCACCTCCCTTCTCTTTATTTTAACGCTTATTTGGACAAACACTGACTTTTGGGAGTCTGGAGGCGCACGGCATGTATAATGCAGGGTTTTACATAAGTAATCAAATACAGGGTCTGATCATTTTGCTACCAGGTTCTCTTCTTTAATCCTTGTAAGAACTCTTGGTATACTTAAAATAATTCTTCCTGTAATCAACAACCAACTTCCATTTTCATGGAAGATGCAATCACTGTACAATTTCAGACCTGTTACATAAATTGAAATCAAGGACAATATTTTGATATATCAGTTACAATGCAAACACTCACTGACTATTACCATTGTAAAGGACCTTAGGGGTTGGTCATTAAGTTCCAGGACTTCCAAACCAGTCTGTGCATCAGAATTATCTAGAAAGCTCCTGAATCTCATCTGGACCTTCAGAATCTCTGGAGGCAGAGTGTTAAAATTTATGCTTTGAGAAGCCTCCTAGATGACAACTATGTGGCCAGCAAGGCTCCACAACTGTGGTGGGAGGTTTGCGGACAACCGGTCCCTCCCTTTTTATTTTTCCATAGTTCTGCTGCCTACAGAGAAGAATCAGTCTGGAGCTTATTAAAATTCAAAACATCAGGTCCCATCACTAGAGATCCTGATTTCATGGATGGGGTTATGGCAGGGGGGAGCTATGTATATTTTTAACAAACACTCCACTGATTTTGATGAAGAAAATCAAAAGGTCACACATTAAGGGAAAATGATACAAATAGCATTTTTCATCATTTTTATCAGCAAGTTCATTTTTAAAAACCTAAATATCTCATGACTTTTCTACAGCTTCTAGTATAGATATTTTTAATTTTTCTTATATAAGGTTATTATGTTAAATATCATTTTTAAAACCAGGCCCACGCTCCTTCTCATAATTCTGAAATGTTCTTCCGACACCTAAAAATATACCCCTATTGATTTAGAGCTTGATTTAATTTGTGCTTACACCATTTATTTATGTTACCAACTCCGGGTTCTCACTGAGAGGCCATAGAGCTGATTCCCAGAAACGGCTTTCTCGCCTCTTCTGTCAAGAATGCCCTCATTACTCCCACCCACGGCCCCACCGCCCCCAGCTGGCTCAGTACAAAGGCAAATGTATCTACAGTATCTGGGATTTGTTTTAAAACACATTTAAAAAAACCATAGACTATAGATGAAGCAAATATGGAAAGGTTTTAATTATTACTTCAAGTGCTTGATGAATATTTAGGATCGGTTGGACTATTCGTTTAACTTTTTGGTCCACGTTTGAAAATTTTTATAAGCACAAAAAAATGGCTCAGGATTTAATTAAAATACAATTATTAAAATTTCCCATATGTCATCCTTTTTCAGGTGAAAATATTCCATATTCAAAATTCTATATTCAACACCTTCAGTATTTTTTTTCATTTAATGTAGCATATTTTGTATCAATTGCAAAAGGAAGTAGCACAAGGAAAATCCGGTAGTGGAAAAATTCAAAAGACAGAATCTCAAGAGGCATGAACAAGGAATGGCTAAAAGCTACTAATGAGGAACAAACATTTCCCGGACAGCCTTATTTCTAGATGGTTGCCTTTCAAATGCTACCCTGTGTACTCACTGGGCACCACCAAAGCAACCAGAACAGGTAACTCCTGTTATTCTTCTTATCTATATATCACTTTATTGATCACTTATATACAGCCCTTTAATAATTATACTATCAGAGGAAATACCATCATTAAAAAATTATAACAGTCCCTTATACTTTGAATTTGATAGACCCTCAAATAGTGAATCTAGTTGTTTTATTATTTATTACTATAATTAAGATTTAAAATATATTAGGTATTAAAATACTTAAAAACTATGCTGCAAGTAAAAGCTTACAATGGAAAATGCCCATGGAATTTATATAGTATTATTAGTTAAAAATACAATATTTGCTATCATTTTTGAGGGCTTGTATGTACCAGGTACTATATAAAATATTTTATAATTTATCTTGTTTATATTTTGTAACAGATCTATAAAATACATCTTTAAAAATGATTTAAAAAAAGAGAAAGAGAGCGGAGGAATGAAGAGGCAGAGAGAGACAACAGAAGAGAGAATATAGCAACAAAGAGAGAAGGGACCAATAGCCCAGTCAAAGTTCATGTAGTAGAAAGTTATGAAGTCAGAATTCAAATCCAGTCCTGAGGAGCACATGCAGGCACCCTGACCATTGTGATGCCTGCATATCTCCAGAATACCCATAGGTTTGTGGTGAAGGAGGTCAGACATTTATACCCTGCTAAGGTAGTGATGATGGCAGGCAAACTTCTTGTAAGAAATATCAACATTGTATGTTAAAAGGAGATGGTAAAGTTTTAACTGCTGGCTTTCCATAGTGTAATAAATACTAAAAGCAATGTAACAAAGTAGTTTGACTATAAAACATACCTCTTCCTTATCAGTTTTTGTATAAACTTAACCAGGCTGTAAGAATGCCTCTTGGCTTCCTTGGCCAAGATTAATTTTTTAGTCTCGGTACATTTTCATTGTATTTATTTATTTATTTTACAATTAATTTACTGAGGTGTAATTTACATAGAATGCATTTTTATAAGCTATAAAATTAAAAAAGGAACATTTCAAAACCTAATATTTCTTTAAGCAGCATTTCCCATAGAGTTTATGACAGAGCTGAGCACATAGAACATATTCAGTAAATTTTGCTAATCAGTTGGGGAAAAAACCCATTGCTTTAATTAATGCAATATCTTCCCTCAAATAGAGACATATGATTTCTAAAATGAAATATTCTTAGTGAATATGAAAACATATAAAAAAGATAACCAATCTCTAAATGTAATTTCAGGTCTGTTAAATGTTCAGCATTTTCATTATGCATACTCACAAACGTTCAAACTTTTCATTTGTTGAATAATTTTTGAGATTTCAAAGAAATTCTTTTGGTCACTGCCTTTTATCTTAATGCATTGAAGTTTGGACACTACATTTAAATGGACAGTAAGAACATTTGATGTTTGTTTTCTTTTACAACCTCAAAGAAAGAAACAGAAAATATGTAAATAAAATAAATGAGAAAGAAGAGGACATTGCATCTATAATGAATGCTCAGAGATCGTTTTTTACACATAGATTTCAAAGAAAAGAAGAAAGGAAGAAAGGGAGAAAGGAAGGAAGAAGGAAGGGACAGAGAGAGGGAGGGAAGGAGGAGTTAAAAGAAAGAAAGGAAGGGCACAAAGAGCCTCAAAGATAAGAAGGTGTCCACATGTCCAAGTGCAAAGAAGGATGTTGTTGCAAATTACAATTAGTTGTTGTAAAATACAATGTACTTAAAATTGGCAGATAAAGTTGTTTTAGTTCTTTAGAACAGCTAAGATGCCTGTCTTCTGCAAGAGGTTCCAAAGGAATTATCTCACAGAATCCTTTTGTAATTTTTAACAAGTCAGAGAGCATGAGCAAGGAATAATGGTGTACAAGCCATATCCTCTTTCCAGTCAAAAACACATAAAATATTCCTGATATCAGTCCCAGATTTTATGGTTTGTTCTAGATACACAGGAAAAGACTGTCTATATTTCATGTAGTACTAACACAAACTCATCCTAGATTCAGGCTCTATGAATATTCTATACCAAGTCTTTTCTACTTGTGAATGGAACATGAGGACTATATGAAACAATGGCTACAATCTGTAGGAACAGTGGTGAGAAAAGCAAAATCTAGAATGAACTAAAGCTTACAAGAAATGCTATTATAACATGTTTGAAACAGGAGTAAAAGTAAAAATAGTGACCTATTACTTGAGGGAGGGAATGCCAGGGAATCAAAAGCAGGGTAAACAACTCAATTCTGCTTTCATCTTTTCTACTAAGAAGAAAAATTCACAAAGGGGAAGTACAGAAAAGCTTCATTAAGAAGGCACCAGACATGAGAGACCCTGCTCTCTGAGTTGAAGCTTCAGTTCCATCAAATTATACATTAGTGCACAAAATAAAGAGAGATGTGGTCGCTATACTAGTCAAATGACATCCAGCTAACATAGCACATAATTGAAGAACATATTTCAGCTCCATGCTGCATCCTCAAAAACCACTACAAATATCTATAATACTGATGTTTCTGAACACTAGATGCATCTCCTCTGAGGTATTATATGGAATGGAAAAGGGGCAAAAGGATGGAAAATGACAAGGTCCTGGTTGTAAGAAAGATTCTTGAGACCATAGACTAATAAGCTTGATGTGTGGTCTAGTCAAATTCTATGAGATAGACAGGTAGGAATATTTTTTTTTTTAAAAAAGAAGTAATCCTAGAAACCATTGTACTGTAGTTTTATACAGAATACATCACATTGAATTAAGCTGCCTCTCAAAGCTGTCAGTGAGGTTGTTTTTTTTGTTTTTTTTGTTTTGTTTTTGTTTTTGTAAAGTTTAATGATGTTTTTGTAATGAGGTGGGAAGTGCTGATTGCTAGTTAATTAAGTGTATGGTTGCCTGAAAAACTGGACCCACAAATTGTTACTTAATACAAAAGTCAACTAGAAGTATTCTCAGAGTTACATCTTTGTATTTGTCCTGCTCATTAAGAATGTAAACAACGCGGTTAAAAATAGGGAAATGTGTGTGTCTCTGCAGATGGATCTTTACAGCAGAGTTGTTAAAACAGTTCAGGAGTCAATTTGGTTTGGATTCTGTCTCTTAATTTCCTTCCTGGGCAAGTGACTTAACCACCCTCAAGTCAATGAAACAAAAATTGTTATTTATTTTAAGATGAAGAATTAATAATTGTTACATCAAAGTATAGCATAATATTCATTCATGTCAAGAAGAGCTGGCAACAGTTAATCCAAAATTTAATACAAACCAACTATGTGATGTGAAAACAAATAATCTTAAATGGTATATATTCACTTGCTATATATCCTTGAAGCTTAATGTTAAAGTCAAATATGGAGTGTTGCATTTCAACTGATGTTCCACATTTTGTAAAGCACATTATCTAAGGAGAATACACAGGAAATAGGAAAACAGAATCAGGATGATGATGGATCCAGAAAGTCTTCCATGTAAGGGAAACAAAAATAATCAATGATGTTTAAACAGCAGAAGTGAGATGAGAGGAGAGAACATGAAATGGAAAATAGGTGAAACTACCATATATGTCTATGAATAAATGTGTGTGTGTGTGTGTGTGTGTGTGTGTGTGTGTGTGTGTGTGTGTGTGTGTGACTACAGATGTCATAATTAGGACCAGTGAACCAAATTTATTGATAGGTATATTACCAGAATGCAAGGAAAGACTTCCTAACAATTAAAGCTGTCTAGTTCTGGAACAGGTTGTTTTGTAAAGCAATAAATGCCCTCTCAGTGGAAGTGTTCAGAGGGCATCTGGCCACCTGGCAAGAATATAGTGTGCAGAATACCGAAGTACATAGGTGAGTGGAAAAGGTTGTCTGAAGGTTTTTTAAAGCTCTCAGACTTTAATCAAGTACAGAATAGCAGAAGAGACTATCTAATTCTTCTTTGTAAACTCAGTGCCTACTAGGGCATGAGAAACATAGTAGGTCTTTCATAAACACCTGCTGAACCAAATTGATAACAAAGAGAGAAGCTATAGATAGTAGTACAACAAACATATGAGAAAGAAAGGAATAAGAAATCAGTGGGTGAAATCATATGGTTTTTTTTCTGACTGACTTATTTCACTTAGCATGATATCCTTGAGATCCATCCATGTTGTTGAAAATGTCAGTATTTCATCTTTACTTATGGCTGAGTAGTATTCTCTACTCAACCATCTGTTGATGGACACTTTGGTTGTTTCCATGTCTTCGCCACTGTGAATAATGCTGCAATGAACACAGAGTGCATATTTCTTTGTGAATAAAGAAATGTTTTCAAATTTTTCAGGTAGATACCCAGAAGAGGGGTTGCTCAGAAAAAGCTAAGAAACATATGATTTCATTCATATGCGGTATATAAAACTGAAACTTGTAAACAGACAACAGCATGGTAGTTACCAGAGGGAAGAAGGGTCAGAGAGTAATAAAAGCTAATGGGGGCCAAATACATGGTGACAGAAGATCTGACTTTGAGTGGTGGGCACACAATAAAATATACAGATCATATACCATAGAAATGTACACTTGGAACATACATAATCTTACTAACCAATGTTACCACAGTAAATTTAATAAGATTTTTTTTAAAAGAAGTCCATTGACTTGGCTGCTGTGGTTCAGTGGACTGAAGACCTGCCTGTGAACCAAAGGGTCGCTGGTTCGATTCCCAGTCGGGGCACATACCTGGGTTGCGGGCCAGGTTCTGAGTTGGGGGTGTGAGTGGGGCAACAAATTGATGTTTCCCTCTCTTTCTCCCTCCCTTCCTCTCTCTTTAAAAGTAAATAAAGTCTTAAAAAAAAGAGAAGTCAATGGAAATAGAAAATGGAACATTTTATCTAATCAAATTTTTGTTCTGTGTGATTAAAGTTGGATGTGATTCTTAGGCTGCATAACACTGACCAAGACGTTTGAAGAAATTCTCTTCTTCATCTCTTCCATTTTCCATTCCACTCCCAGGCCCACCTTCAGAAAGCTTCACAGCACTGGTAAATTTAACCTGAGAAAAAAAGTTTCAGACAATTAAGTTCAATTTTTTGTGTTTATACTAAAGGTTGTTTTGAAAAATATGTTTAGAATATGAAGGTTACTTCAGCTTTTCTGACTTCCACATCTGGTTAGTCAGGATAGTATATTTCCATGTGCCAAAAAGGACACCACTTATAAGTGTCATTTGAAGGAAGATCCTGATCATAGATTGAAATAATCAGACACTATGAAAATAACAGTAAAAAACTGAGGTATTCCTAGAGTTTAATTTTAGTAAAGTCCAAACTCAAAATCAGGAACAGAAAGCCATCTTTGTCCTTTACAAACACCACCACAATTGAGAATCAGACCAAATTAAAAGTAGAATAGAGATTTCAAATCTCTATGGAAGAACCAGTATAAATTTGTTTATAAAGTATACTATAAATAAAGTGCAGTAACACAGGTTCTTCTAAGAATTAAAATGTGTTCTCACTCTTGCCCTTAAGCCAGCAGTAATCAAGATTTTCAGCAAAGCAAGGAGGCTGTGGGCCTTGTAGACTCTCAAATGCTTGGCCAATTTTTTAGCAAAAAGAATGTGAAGAGTGAATTATAAATATATCTTCTAAATGTCTTACAAGTTTGCTTTATCCTTTATATAATTTCAAAATATTGCTTTGTAAAACAGATAGAAGAAAACTGGTTTCAGTGAGAGTCAAAGAAAGAATGCAAGCACATATTTTGCATTTAAAGAAATGTAACAGATCATATGCTGAAAGCGACAGCGACCAGAACCTTTCATAGGGAAGGCTCTCGCAAGAAATAGATTCCACTGCGAATCGTTACCTTTTCTGAATCACGTGCTACTGCATTGCCTAATGATATTATGAAGCAGCACTTACTGGGAAAAGTCATCCTCAGCTTCTTTACCTTTGTCAATAGGGAGAATAGTTCAGATGATGCAAAAAGTGCTGGAAGGAGGATAAATGGGGTGAGTGTATGTATGTATGTATGTATGTATGTGTGTGTGCGTGTAAAAGGAATCACTATAGAATGACTGTATCCTTGGAAATGAGCTCGAGATGTCAGGAATGTTACATGTGTGTTAAAAATTAAAAGTGGCTGGGAAGTAACACACACACACACACATACACCTATATCTGCATTATAATTTTATATAACTTTTTTGTCACACTTTTCCCTTTTTCCTTTATGATAGTGTACTACTTAGTTTTGATAGGCTATTACTTAGTAGGCCATCTTAGTTTTCATTGCTCATCCAAGTTTCCCAAACTTGTTCAACTTGAAGGCATTCTTCAACTCTCCTTGGTCTCTCCAGGTGTTCAGCATTTCTCAGCCCTGACATTTTTTAAGCAGCGACCCCAACATTCTCTCACATAAGTAACGTCCTGTTTACCTTGGAGCTTTGCCTGATGAAGGACAGGCGGTCCACGGAGCTGATGTCCAGGAGGTCCTCCACGCCATCTGCCAGGCCCGACAAGGAGGATCGCTTCAGCCAGTTCCCTATTTAATAATTTTTTTTTAAATATTAGACCATTATAGCATTTTCTCCCTCATGGATTAAACAGAAATGCCAGCATGTGGCATTTTCATGGCCAACAAGTAATGAAAGTTATGTGGCTTGATGTAAATAAAAGTGAGCAGAAATCCACAGTTTTCAACTATACTTAGTTGTATGATTATCTACTTTAGTGACTGTCATCCCTACTAGATTGCAAGTTCCGCAATGTTGGTCACTGTGTAATTTTGCTCACCATTTAATCCCTGCTGCCTAAAATAATGTTTGTACACTGTAGAAGCACATAGCAGGAGTCTGAGAAATATCTGTTAAAAAAAGAATGAATAAATGAATGAATGCAGTCAGCCTCAGCCTTTGACTTGAGGGCTTTCCTTTCTCCATCCCTCCATGCGTTGCTCTGTTTTGATTACGAGTTTATTTGAGGGCATGGCAGGGAATAAGAGAATTCATAAATAAACCAGACATACTTTTACCTATGGGGAGTTTAAGCTTCTTCCGAAGGGAAATTCGGCGGGACCGTGAGCGGGCACGCCGGTCAGAGGTGGTCCCTGAGTGGGCAGTGGTGCATTCTGAAGTGTCCTGTTCCGACTGGCTGCTGGTGTCGCTTGCTGCGCTCTGGGATTTGAACATCTTGCGCCAGAAATCTTTCCGCCCCAGGTTGCCCCCTTGCATTTGTTCATCGCTGAGAGCAAGGAGAAGCGAGAATTAAACATCTGACACACTTGTGAAATTCTCTTAAATTTCTTCCAACCCTCTTCCAATGGCACTTAGGCGACTCATTCAGGATTTATCTTTGAAGGGCTGGGATTTGGGAGGAGTGGGAGTGGAAGGAGGGAGACCAAGGTTGAGTCTCTGAGCTCTTCTTGAAAACAGACACGTCTCGGCTGTCAAACTGACATGATTTTTTTCAACCTTCATAAAAAGACTAAATATTATTGCAGGTGTTCAACTGCAGGTGTGAGTCATAGCAGCAGAGGCACTTACAGTGTCAGTAAATATTAAACTATTTTGTGATGTTCCCTGAGGCATGTTCCGTACTGTATCTTACCCCCAACCCCACTCCTACTCCAGTATAGTACAATTCTTTGAATTATGAATTATAGTATACTTCATTGAAAAAACTCACAAAAAATACTGGAATAAATGAATAAATGATATGCATCACCACACCCAGGGGATGCATCATCCCACAACTATTCACTAAGTTATTTTCATAGTGCCTAATTATTTAGCTTTCTTAAGTCAAAGAAACTTAAGTAAGGCTTAAAAGTGAAAATATTAGTCCAACTCAATAAGACAAATGGGAACATCTTCAACGAGATTTTTGACTAGGGCATTCTACAAGAGAAAAAAGACAAGTGGCCAATAGTATGCAGACTTTAATTTCACAAGGAATTTAAAAAAGAGAGAGAGAGAGTTGAAATGAGATCCCTATTTTCACTCATCAAATTGGCAAGGATTACAGGGTAAAAAACCAATGGTCACTATCATAGTGCCAGCAATAAGATAGAATGATCAAACTTTTCTGGAAGCTAATTTGGTTATCCAAAACCTATATATACACCCATGACAGAAAAAATTGAACTTCTAGGAACTTATCACAAGGAAATAATGGGACAACATGTTAACATATAAGAAAGTCAATGCTCCCTGAGATATTATTGATCAACACTGACAATCTGGAAACAATCGAAATGTTCAACTCTAGGGATACAGTTAAATGAATTATGGGACTTCTGTATAATGACATGCTCCGTAGTCATTAAAATCCTATTTTAGAAAACTACTGATATGGGAAATGTTGATGATATATTGCAAAGTTAAAGGGTAGCGATCAAATGAATTAAACAGAACAAAACCGGGTTAATTAAAAAAAAGTACACATGTGAGCATGTGTCTGAGTGTGAGTTTATGTGCATATAAGCTAAAAAAAGTACCTAACAAAACATACCAAAAGTTTACAATGGTTATCTGTATTTGATGGTATTCTGGTTTTAAAACTATTTTTCTCTATGTTTTTCACATTCATCAATTTGTGCAACATACATTACTTTAGTAATTTGGAAAGAAAAAGTTATAGAAAATACTCTGGTAATATGATAAAATTTGTGGGATTCTAGGCTTTGGGGTTAAACTGTAATCTACCCAAAACTTGATAGTACTGTATAAAGCAATCTTTCCTGAGATATTTATATGGGGATTCATATTTTGTCTCTCAAAATCTCATAACTAAATAACTTTTATTCTTTTTTAAATTGAATTTACTGAGATGGCATTGGTTCACAATACTATACAGGTTTCAAGTGCACAACTCAATAAAACATCATCTGCACACTGCATCATGTGCCCATCGCCTCATGCAAAATCTCTTTCTGTCCCCATTTCCGCCCCCCCTCCCCGTTTTCCCACCTCCACCTCCCCCAACCTTCTTTTCTCTCTGGCTGTCACCACATCGTTTTCTGTGTCTATGTGTTATGTATGTTTTTTGGTTAATCCCTTTACCTTCTTTCATTCACTCCCCCAACCCTCCTCCCCCCTGACAGCTGTCTTATTCTAAACCGGGGCATTCGGTTTATCAAATGTGGTGTGATATAAATGAGTGCTTTTGAATTTGTCTTCTCAGTCATTTTTATAAAATGATCACAGTGCATGAAGCATTTCTTACCTTGGGGGAATGTGGGACACAATGATGCATGTGTGACTACGTGGTCTGAATAGGAAAACACTTAAGGAAGCTATAATTTATCAGCTTTGCCAATGAGTGTGTATCAATAATTAGTTTCAGAAAATAAGCATATAGAACTGCTTTTAAGATTACTCAGTTAATGTGGCTTGTACTTAAGGAGGGAGAAGCAGAAGAGAAGGGTAAGGAAGGGGAGGGAGGGAGAGGAGCGAGAGGGAGAAGGCAAAGGAGGAACAGACTCATCCACCCACCTTTCTCCAATGCTAAACAGAAGACACTTGGCATGCTCTTCTGGACCCACTCAGATCAGGGAAAAGTTCCTATTTGACATTCTATAACATCCCTTCAAGTGGAAATTTTTAGGTACAGGCATATTAAAGCATGTATCTTCATTTGAGAGGAAAGAACAGAGGTGCTAAATTCTGAGAAATCAGGTGGGGTTTACAGAATATTGAAGAAAAGGGATATTTTGTAATCTAGAAAACTAAATTACATATGAAGATAAATGGTTTTATTTTTCAAAATCCAAATTGCTATTAGATCATTCTTATCAGATTAGCTCAATAGTTGCTAATGTTATTTTGGGAAAAAGTCCTACTTTTTTGGACAGATTCTGTATGTAAGGATTTTTAACTTGTTTTGTGGTTATTCAGCTACAGAACTTTGCCTTTCACATTAATTTTTTTCTTAGAGATTATATTGGATTTTTACCAAGTCCTTGAAGACTTTGTTAAAGAAAAATCTAAACCTCAATTTTAAAAAGTTAAAGAAAACAAAGGTTTAATTGTTATCTGTCAATTCTATCTTTTCAATGATTGATTGTCATTCATTCATTCACTCATTCAAGTATATATTAAGTGCTTACCATGGGTCAAACCCCATTTAGGCAATGTAGCTATAATGGTAAGCAAAAAATTCACATGATCCCTGGGCCTATTTGAGTTGATTTACCTTCTTATTTTTCTGTGCCCATTTAGGGGCAGTCTCTAAGATTTTTGAAAGGCTTTAAGAAATGTTAAGTGTTCCTGGAAGGTTGTTTGCTTGCTGTGGATTATTACCAAGGTCCTATTTGATGACTGTAATATCCTTGATTATCAAGAGAGGATACCAGAAAAGCTATAATGTCTGCAGGATTTCTAGAAGGATAATCATTTATTACTAAATCAGAGTTCTGGGAAATAAAATGATGTAATATTTTAAATACCGATCATGCCACTTGTGTAAGTGGTCCTCAAAAAAAGACTGAATACAGATGAGCCTCGGCTATTTATTTGGTGTCCACAGTCATCATCACATGTTCTGGGGACACTACTTTCAAGATGCTTTAGATTTTGCATTATGAAAAGTGGAGATAAGCTGATAACGAGGCATCCTGTTGGCACAGAGCCTGGTCATTTGTGATTTGCAACTGCAGAGATTAATGGCTTTGGGAGTGAAAAGTAAAGGGCAAAAGCAAGACAAAGGTAAAAAAAAAAAAAAAAGAGAAACAAACAGCAGTTTGGAAAATAAAATTTTCCAGTGGGAAGTGCTCAGTCCACTATATTGGATGCTACTTACTGCTCTGGAGTCTGCGAGGGCCGACCAGACATGAAGCTGCGGCATTCCTCAGGTGCAGAGGACAGTTGGCCTTTATCCACAATGCTTCCCGCCTCTGACCTATGCAAATGGTAAATTCCACCGATCACATCAGAGCAGGACACCACTTCTCAGTATTTCATATACTTCATCACACTCTGCTATAGTCAACCATGGCTTGCAAACCCCATGTCACCAGAGTCTCTGCTCGTATGAAACATATCCTACCATTTGACTCATGACCTTGCTGCCTTGTTGCCTAAGAATGCCACCATTACTGCTAACAGAGTAATTAATTGTAAGCAGGATTTTAAGTTTAGAAGTTCAGAAGTTTCCTTTAATCTCTGTAAGTGGCGTTTCTTATAAAGTATGCATACAATAAATTTATGTTAATTTAAAATGAAAACAACAAGGTACTGCTCAGCAGTTTGTCTTTTGTCATGTTAAAAATGTTATTTACCGAACAGGACGATACGGTATCAGTAATTGCTTTCCTTTTCTGAACAAAAACTTGTATTATCTCTAGAAGAAAACAGATAAAATTTTACCACATAATTAAGAGCTAGGAAGTCATGTTCAAGTATATGAAAGTTTGAGATTAACTGAGTTCTGATTCATACAGAGGTAAGACTTATTTGATGGTCAACTCATTCCTTTCTTAAGCTGCAGCTGGACCACCGCCAGCAACACCACTTTTAGAAGGCAGTTCTACCATCCCTGCCTGGGGTTGCAGCCTGTGCCAGGAACTACATGGAGAGTGCAACAGATTATATTCTTCAGACACAGGCAAACACTAACATTCAGAGAACTCAAGCTTCCAACCTTTTACTGCCTGCAGGCTTAGATTCTGGTTCATTCTCCTCCACCTTTTTTCCTGGTGCCAACTTCTCAGCACTGTCAAGCAAAGCGCTGAGGGCCACTCTCCTGAAGACATTCCCATGAGCCTCTTTGATAAACTGGACCAGCTGACGGATGTCACAATACAGACCCTATTTGGACGCAAGAAGGAAATACAGGGAAAGAAAGATAGTTGTATGATTGTATAATTTTCATAGGAAGAGGGGGTGAAGGTAATTCTTTGGGCTTGGATGAGCACTGGAATCATAAAGGAAAGACAATTTCCTTGAAAGCAATGGTATACCTCCTCTCTATTGTTCCTATAGCTATATTATGATGGACCTTGCCTGTCATTCTAGTGTGAAAAAGAATGGTTAGCATGCTTCATATTCAGAAAGTTGGCTGCTATCATAAGAAAGATATCAATTTACACTTTTAATTATTGGATTCCAAAACTTTAATTTTTTTCTTAACTGTGACTTCTTAAAAGATGTCTACAAAAAATGCAATCAGAATTTTGCTTATACTAGAGAGTTCAGTCCCTGTTCAGCTTCACCAAATTTTCTGCCTCATTGTGGTAAAATTGCTAAGTCTTCTATATATTTCTGATAGAGCCTGATATTTAAGGATGGTGCATTTTGCTGGACAGATTTAACAAATAGCATGTATGTTGCAGCCCATTTGAATGTGAACTTGACTATGATCTTAAGATGATGCAGGGCTACTAAAACCAATATATTGATGATTTAATATTTCAAATACATGCAGGACTGTTTTGGGGGAGAGATAGTAAGCTTTGCACTCAGCAATTTCCTCTCCCCCTTTCTTCTTTAAGAAGGCAGTTATTGTACTTTCTTTTGTCTTAGGAAAGGTTCATGATAAGGCAGAATGCAGAAGCCTAAGAACACTGCTGACCTTGACAGCTTTGGGTTTCAAAACCTAGGATTACTGGGACAATTATGCCCATGATCTTTAGAAAAGCAGATGGAAGGGCCAGTAAGGAAAACATGGAGAGAGAGTCCTTTCTTAGGTCCTAAGGGCAGCAAGGCCCTCTGTGCTCCCTCTGTTCTTCGGTTGCTTCTCCGTGGAGAGGGCAAGGCCTCAAAGAGCAAGGATTCCAGACTCTCCAGAGTGCTCAGACCTAAGCATGCGGCAGGAAGTACTATGTGAAATAGTAGGTTTGACGTGATGATAGAAACCCAGGCCCTAGGTCCTGTTTAACGCTTGCACCCATCTGTGAAATGGGGAAACCCAAAAAAGACTAAGACTCAACTTCCAGCCATTCTGGTGGGATAGGGGTTGAAAGTCCAACAGAAGATGACTTAAAGAAAATTAAGAAACACAGTATTTCGTCTATATATGAGTTTGTACACTAAGATTTATAAGCTCTCACATATGTTATAATCAGCTTGTCAAATTACTTCTTTCCTTGACCAGAGTGAATGCAAGGATGGCTACCATGTGATCCTCAATCTCCAAGAACCTTGCTGGGGTGGCTTTGACCACTAACCAAATCAAATTCCCTTTGGTTGGGGGTTTTATTCTGTTTATCTCAAGGTAAGTGAATAGTTTCAATTGTTTAGAATAGCTCAAACTGACTTCCTTGATTTATCAGATAGTGTCCATATGTGTAAACAGACTGATTTCTGCTTAGGAGTCATAATATCTAACAAATTGGTAAGGTAGAGAAATACCCTTTACTCCCCAGAGAGACCTGACTCCTTCCCTTGACATCACTTTTGTCAGCTTGATGTATGTTTCAGTTTCCCAAACCACGATCTCCTTGGTAGCAATCAAGAACTAACCTTTCATAGTTTACTTTCCCCACTTGTGGCTTCAGTGGTTTAATTAACACAGCCACTTATGAAGAGTAGCTAAAAGATCACAGCCTTCTATTAAAAGAAAAAACAATTTCAGCAGCATATCTGCATTAATTTTTAAAGTAAGCATAGTTTCAAAAGATGCTTGGTATAACATACTTTAATATTTTATGAGCTAACAAGCTGCACTCCAGCACCTTCTTTCTGAAAGACTCAAAGTCCTTTGCAACTATTACACCACCCACTCCCGAACCTCTGAGACAGAAGAGGAGGAGAAGTCAATTTGCAGGTAGGAGAAAGAGCAACAAGGAGAAGTGTGTTGCTGAGACTCCACCATGAGTTACTAGTAACATTGGAGAAATAGATGTTTTAACTGTAAATTGCAAGCTTTTAGACTTCAACTACTCTTTCCCATGGCCCATGATGTGAGAACTTTTCTCTGAGCAGAAACAGAGAGCTCCTGTGGGAACAAAGGGTGAACTTCTCACCAGATTCTCAGGGCTATGCAGTTCATGTGTGGTTGAAGCACAGCGTGTGATGAGAGATTTAAACATGGCGCTGACGATGATGCCTTCCACATTTTGGGCTGTGGATTTGTTGTCCACTGTGGTGAAGTTATTTCCAAAGCCAGCCTTGTCTGGAATGCAAGGGCACAAATTAAAGGCAGTTTCCATCAAGCTACACAGTTGAAAGAAGTAAAGAAGTATGTGGCACTCAGATATGACTGGAGGGCTATGTGGAATACAGAAAGAGAGGATTAAAGATGCCCTCGGTTTAATAACCTTTCCCCAGATTCAGAGTTGAGCAACTCATAGTCTCCTTCAGGGTCTTTATTTTGCCATATTTATTCACTTTGTGGAACACTTATAACTGATAAAACTTAGCCAATAAAAGAGAATCTGCTCACCCTAAGAAAGACTTTTAGACCTAGAGTAGTTTTTAAATCAGTGATCACTTAAAAAATGATCTACTAAAAGGTCCCTCAGTGGAGAAATAATTTATTTGATTCAGTCTTTTTAGCAGTGAGGAATACCTGCTCTCAGTGGAAATCACCAGGTCTGTTGAAGGTAGAGAAGAGTAAGGCCAACCAGGTGAGTTGGGCAGGGGGAGAGAAGAGAGCAAGAGGGGCGTGGAGAGGAATTCCTGCAGGTGCTAGGAACAAAGAGGACGCTGAGCCCTGCCAAGAGCTGCAAAGGAATTCCAGCAGCTTTCTGCTTCCAGAGACTCTGGGCCTACAGAGAAGAAAGATCTACAATCTCTCAGATCTTCCTCTTTCTAATTCATCCCGTAAACTGAGGCCATCACCCTTTGTGGCATTTTTACATCAATTTTTCACATATCTATGTACTTCTTGTAGGGGACACATCAGGTAGTTTGGGGGCTTGCCAGAAGATTCCTCAGGGCTTGCTTGTGAGCCACCCGTGGTCTGTGGACTGTAGGGGCAGGGTGTGTACAGCTCCAAGGGTGTTCAGACAGGGACCTGTGTGTCTGGCTGGGTCATTCACTGTGCACCACTTCCTATTCTCAAGAATCCAAGGAAGAATTCATCACCTTAAAGTAATACAATTTACTATCACCCTCTCACTTTCTGTGTCAGTTGGCAAGGGACAATCTCTAGATTTTACATTAGAAAGATACGGACTAGTCTATGCTTATAGTTTCTATAGTTTGTTATCAAGATTTCTCTTGCGATCTCAACCACAATCTTCCTTCCTTCCTTCCTTCCTTCCTTCCTTCCTTCCTTCCTTCCTTCCTTCCTTCCTTCCTTCCTCTCCTCCCTCCCTCCCTCCCTCCCTCCCTCCTCCCTCCCTCCCCTCCCTCCCCCTCTCCTTTCTTTCTTTCTTTCTTTCTTTCTTTCTTTCTTTCTTTCTTTCTTTCTTTCTTTCTTTCTTTCTTTCTTTCTTTCTTTCTTTCTTTCAATTTGTAATACGCTTGGCTTAAAACAGCTTTGATAACATACATTATTCCAGGGGTTCTACAGAGAAGCAATATATTCTTTTAATGACACCCAAACACTAAAGCCTGGAATACAAGTTGAAAATGTCTTTAAAATCCATCAGCTGTATCTTCATTATAAATTAATCAACTACTACTACACATGTATTACATAAACAACAAAAGCTTACACGAAGAAGTTTTTCTTTCCAGGCTCTAATTAAAATGTGTATTTTACTCAGCTCAGACTTCACACATCACTGTCATTTCACTACTGCATTCGCATTCAAATGGTATGGAAGGTGTTTGGTTTGTTGTGGATGCCATTGGTCTCCCCCTATAACGCATGTCTTTATGCTGGAGCTTTCTTAAAGCCATGAAGCTAATACATAAATAAAATATTGTGGACCTGTTTATAGATCTGTTTTGCCTATTTTTTAAAAATCAGTATATATGTATGCATATATGTGTGTATCAAATTCATGTTATTACTATGTTTATATATATATATCTTCCCTTGCCTGTTTTATTTTGTGAAAATATCCCCAGGACTGTGGCTAGCACATAACAGGTATTAATTTCTCATGAATATCTGCAACTATATTCCCTTGTTCCTTGATCTCTGCCTCAGTTGTCACGCAACTGAGGTCACATGAGAAAGAGTAATGGTAGCGTACAGGTTGAGGGGCTAATGGTGAGGATGCCACAGCATTACCAAATTCCCATTTGCTGAGATAAGTTTTCCTCAGAAAGGGTCCAAATATGTCATTAAAGATGATGCACAAGCTTCTCTTATGTATGGACTATCACACACACACACACACACACATCTCCTCCTCTACATTCTTTCCCCAGAAATTGTGTATCTTTGAAATGCTATCTGCTTCACCTCACAGCAATTTCTCCTAGATCTTGAACTTGGTTTAGCTTTACTTACTGTCCGTGACTGGCTCCATACAAAATCCTAGCAAAGCATGCAAGAAGTCCACTACATTATTGAGGGAGTCCTTGTTCACATAGTCCCTCATGGTTTGGCGGAACTGCATCTTATCTAGCTTGTAAAGCTTAGTGAGGCAGTTCTGGGCCTGCAATGAAGGAAGAAAAGTGAAAAAGTCACAGGTACCGGCTTAAGCTAAGGATGCCATGAGCCCAAGGCAGAATCCCTCAGAAAGCAAAGGCTTCTGTCCACCCCTGCTGGCTGGTGCTGGCCAGCCTTGCCAGCCCCTCTTGTCTGAGCAAGAAGGGGGCAGAGACAGGCTGAGCAGTCCAAAAGTCACACATGCATGTACTTTGAGAGGGACTGCTCTGGGAAAAACCCAAAGCTAAGGTCTAATGCTGCTGCCAGAGGGAGTCCAGTACTTTCCCCAAGATCCAGATTTTAAGGTCTCATTGGAAACAGCTCTAAGTGTAAAATTTAGGTAGGTGATAGGATTGGAAATCCAGGTTTGGAAAAGGCCACAGGCTTGGCGCAATGGGAAGGAGCATGCCACTCCCAGGCTCAGCTACTTTGAATTCAAGTAGATTTAAATGGAGGGGAGTGAGAGGGATGTAGGAAGTGGGTACCCGGTGTTCTCTTTTGGAGTCAAAAGGGGAAGATCCTTGAAACAGGAGAGAGGATCAAAGCAAACGCAAATCTAGTTTGTTTACTTATGGGTTTGCATTTGAATGTGAAAGTTTGGTATTAACTAAAATTGGCCTTGTAGATATGAAAAACAAATGACCACTGGCTAGGCCCAACTACTCAAAATTGTATTTCATATGATCCAGCAAATAATTTTGCCCTCCGGCAAAGAAAATGGCGATAATCTCCACCATCAGAACAAATAAAGTCACAGTCATTAGCTGCAGAAGGCCAGAGCAGGAATGCACTGCTACTACCTGGGACCATAAGGGGGCCTCCCGACCTCCTTAGTGAGAGAAATATCACTGAAGAAGATATTTCAGTTATATCACCGTTTTGACAAATTAAGGCCCAGAGAAAGATTCTTAGAAATTTTGAGAGGAAAAAGAAAGCTTCTAGAAGGATGAAACTATGAACTGCATAGGCTTCATGCTGTGACCTTGTATCATCTCACCATGTATCACCAAGTCAGGTGGATTGACTTTTTTTTTTATTCTCCCTTTACTAGATTCTAGAAGACTGTTGAGAAATTAGGGATTCTACTTTGGGAAAGTTACTGGTTGCTTGATCTCAAGCAAGCTCATTTTTTTCCTTACAAAATAAATGTTGCTTACTCTAAAATGAAGTTTGCAAAGCACTTAGATAAAATATGTTCAGCCTGAAGAAGTATTTAATTATCACTCCATAAACAATTTGTGAAGATCTTCATTACAATAATTACAAAGCAATTTAAAATGCCGGGTTGGAAAGTCCTTAAGTCCAAATTACCCTATCCTATTTTTTCTATAAAATACACCTAAAAAGGCATAGTTTCAAATCTAGTTAGAGGCTACTATAATATCTAAATGAGTTCAATGAGAAGTTTAAGCAAAAATCAGAATATCAAAGTTTTAGTAGTTTGATTCAGAATGAATAGTCTAAACTCCAAGAGATATAAAATCGCTAAAGATGAAATCCTTTGCAATAATTTAGGAGTCCCAGTTAATTATATTAATCTAGGAAACACATGCTGGAACTGCTAGGCACTTAGATGAATGTCATTATGGTGATTTTCTCTTTCTTTTTGAAAAAGTATAGAGGACTTCATCTGGTAGAGCTAAAACAGAGTCTTAAAGTTTTAAAAGTTAAATACCTTCTGAAAATTTAATGTGTTGGAAATCTGGAAATACTTAGCTTCTTGAATTAGACATTCCCAGGGAAAAAGTCTCAAAGTTATATCCTTTGGAGAAAGAACAATGTGTTTACTGAGCATGGTTAAACACAAACAATCCCCATAATGAATATTAAACTGGCCTACAAGATACTGGAGGCGTTGCTGGGTAAGTCAGCAAAACTGAGAAGGCAGGTAGAATACCAACTGTACATTCCAGCAGGAAGCACTCAGCACCCTTGGAGAGAAAAGCATGGTGGACTAAGAAGTAACAAAGGCCTCTCAAATAGCTTCTGATCCAACTAGCTCTACTTTCTCCAAGTGTAGAAAGACAGCTTCTGGTGGCAGAGCCAGTTTGTACCTCTAACTAAAGCATAGCATGTTATATTTTAAGTGTTTCCTTTCATGGAATTGGTTTATATGATGAGTGATGTGGTTTTCGCATGAAGGCATTTATTCATACTGTGGTAGAATCAAAAATCATACAATTTGCATGTGCAAAGATGGGGGGCAACATCAGCTTTTTATTGCCTTATTATTACTTTGATTTAATTTTGGCCTCAAAATCTAGATCTTGGTCAAAGTTTCCAAGTTTCATAATTTAGAAGTTAATCACTGTGAAATATAACCCCCATATACATATAATAAACAAATATATACAACATAATAGAATGTGAAAGAAACACTATGTATAGGTGGATAGATAGGTAGATGATGGATGAACAAAGAAACACAGCATGCTAATACTATGTGAACATATCACAACAAAACCTAATACCAAGGAAAAACGGCTGGCATTAGATTTTGACATGATCCTAAAACTCTGCCAAGATATGCTAAATAGTTTCCAGGACTAAAATTTGCATCAAACTATGATTTTAGGCAAATATTTTCTTAGGATTTCAATTCAAACATGTGTATGAGACATACCAGCTCGGACTTGGTATGGAGACGGGTTGTTACTCCAGCGTGAAGGGAAAAGTAACAACCCGTAGAGGCAAATGAAAATGAGCTGGCACAAGACCATGTTCCATTACAGAATTATGCTTCGCAAGCCCAAGCGCAGAGTTTCAAGTTTCACACAGTTCACAGGGACATGATCTCAAACAGTTAGAAGTCAAGGTTCATTCTCAAACAAAGCAGCCAGAACATGACTGGCTACTTGTACAGTCTTGTTACGTCCCAATAAGGGCAATTTTCCGTATCTACGTAAGAACAACAAATTGAGTCCTAAACTTCGACTCCTTTCTTCAATATAAAATATGCTTCTATACTACCCAGGAAGGTGATTAAAAAGTCATTTGTCACAGACCATTGGAAACTTGCTAAAGGTATTCATCATTGTAGAGTTCTTTCAAGCCACAATTCATGTATTCCAATTATACACCAACTTGGAGTTGGCCTGCCCTAGGCAGGAGGCAAAAATCTTTTCCCAATTAAACTTTTTGGGCCTGGGTTTTAGATGTCTTGAGATATCTCATGGGAAGCCTCCCACCCCAAGATAGCATTAATGAATCCTATGAAATACAGTATTTTTCAGGGAACACTGACCCTCATTGTCAAAGGACACATTCTTAAATTGGAGGGAGGGATAAGGGGGAGGAAATGGAATCTACTTTAATTCTCTTACATTCTCTCGGAATACCTGGTGTCTCAGACGATCTCCGGAGAGCCCTCGGTGTCCTTCTCCGCAACCATAGGCACATCCCAAAGACTTCACTATTTTGATGAGCATGGTGAGAGCAAGCCTATGGTTGCTGACAGGTGTACTTTCCTCCTAGCACCCATGAACAAGACAGAAAGAGAAGTCTGTTGACCTAGCTGCTAAGGTCCTTCTACTACTAAGACTTTATTTCACAATTAAATTACATTAATTGGTTTTATAGTGAGCACCTGCAATTTGGGAAATAGAATTGTCAAGGGCTCAATAAGCAAGCTAATTTTTCTAAAACTTGGAACATGATTTATTTAAAAGGAAGAAAATATCTATGCATTTTGCATACCCTCTAGGGCTAAAGGATATGAATGGAGACTTCTTTATTAAAAGATATGCTTTTGTGTCTTTGACAGACTATGAGAAAAACTGCTGGAGAGAGACAGTGGGGACTATTAGTAATGAAGGCAAATAAATTTTCCCAGAAGCTACTATCATTAGTAGGCTTCTAATAGTACCACTTATCAGAATGACTGCTAAATTTCTGGCACTGATCCATTTGGAACTTAGAAATCACATGACAAATTCCAACATTTTAAAAGAATTTTTCTAATTTTATACTTTCACTATATTGTAATACACACAAAGAAAGTGAGAATATTAAGAAATTAGTAAATAGTCATCTTGATTTTTCTTTTGAAGCTAAATAAAAAGCCTTTCTGCATGAGTTACAAGCGCTACTATCCTTTCTCTTGCCCCATTTAATCCTTGTTGTTAATGGAAAACATAGCATCCACAAAAATGAGTGTTCTTGAATTATTTCCAAAGAAGCCTAAGGACACTGTTGCTAAGGAATGACACAGATCCCAGTGGGAGAGTGCCATTACCTTCGGGAGGCTTTGATCTCCCTGGATCCATCTAGCTACAGTCTGCTATCAGCACATACACCATGGACTTGAGATTCTGTCTCCTGTTCCCTAATTGTATATCACATTAGATAAATTAACTCATCTCTTTGTGCTTTATAGTTTCCTGACCTGTAAATTGAGTATCCTAATAGCTTCCTTTCCTACTTCATTGGTTGATTGTGCAGAACAAATTAAATAATAGACAAGAATTGCCTTTTAAATTGTGAAGGGCTCTTCCATAGTTAAACAGTCAGGTTTATACATAAACTTTGGGGCCACACACACACTTAAATGTGGGTAGGGTGTGAAAAGGATAGGGGGTTACCTAGGCTTCATGTGCCATAATGTGGTAGGCTCTCTCCTCCCCTAATGTTACGTAGTTGGTCCTACTTTTGCAATCCATAGGCTGATGCAGTGGATACGGTGTCAGACCCCAAAGATGCCCCTTTCAGGGCTGAAGCAGTCATTCTCTGAGCTGCTGGAAGTCTTGATGGCTCACAGCTCTGAGCTGAGTTCTTCTCCAGGCACTGACCTTAGCTAAAGAGAGCTGCCTCACTCAAGGTTATGCTCTCTTTCTGGAAACAGTCTGCTTTCAATGGATCGTCAAGGGAATAAAGAGATGGGGATTACAAAGGTGGGATCGTTTACTTCACTTGGGGACTACTTTGAGAAGCCATCCCAGGCCCAAAGCTTCCTGTGTAATAATGGGCCAAGGTCTCTGTTACAGTTACATTGCAGTTCGGCTTCTCCCTCTGCCCCATCTTGCTTCCTTGACACCTCACAGCTGTTGATCCTGAGACGACACCTCAGGAAAACTCCTGCACACATATCTGCCTGGATGACTATGTTTGCTGAGAACTCTAGAGTTCAGATGGCTGCAAATGGAAGACTCAAACTAATCAATAGGCATCTATTTGTTCATTCACTTATTCACTCACTCATTCATTCATTCATTCTTATATTAATAGATACCAATTCAGGAATGTTTCAGTTTGGATTTAAATCTTAGCTCCATAACCTTGGGCAAGTTATGTAACCACTCTGTGCCCTACAAGATGGAAACTATGATATCATCTCTCTCATAGAGTTGTGAAATTAAAAGAATCAAAACATGTAAGGCACATAATAATATCAAAACAAATGTTGATTATTATTACTAGGTATGGGGCACTGCTATCCTCAGGTGCAACTTTGTACAAATTAGAAAAGTACTTCTCTGGGCAGATGAATCAGAGATTGGTGAGCCTTTTTTGTGGATGCAGCCTTTGGGTGAACAGCTCAGCGAGCAAAGCTCGGACTGGATTTCAGTCCTTACTGACCAACCCCACTGAGCTGAGCCTTTCTGAAGAGCACACACTCACAGCCAGGGGTTGTAGTGCTTGGAAAAGGTCACCTTGTGTGAGGGCTGATTTGGAAGATTGATTAACATACATTTTGGGATTACTATGCCTTCCTTTAAAATAAAACCCTGCTCCAAAAGCTCTTTGTAAATATCTATTCAGGTTTGTATTTTGTTAGACTTTCATATGTCCTTGGGATGTAGGTTTCTCTCACAGGCAACATTCAGAAAGATGTAGCAAGCTACAGGCAAAGATCAGGACAGATATTAAATAACATTTCAAGCTCTCATATCAGTTAGTGGCAAACACAGAAATTAGATCTTTTTTCTGAATTAATCAATTCCCCATGCATCTGGTATTTACCCAGTTGCAAAATTAGATAAACTCTCTGATTTCACTGAAAATAAAAGATGGGTTTGGGAAACAAAACAGAACTGTGTGCATCACAAATACAATGCACTTGACCTACGGTCAGGCTTTATGATATAAATTCTTGGTACTACAAAAAATACTATTTTGCAGAACTAATGATAAAACATACCTGGTAGCTGTTTTTGAGACCACATAATGTGATTTAAAAATTCCTGTACTAACCAAAAGTGGTAACTTTGTATCTAGTATAATATCTAGATTTTAAATAGGCAAGAGACTAGTAGCTCTTCAATATAAATTAGATGAAAATCCTAGGTGGGTAAAAAGCAGATCTAAAAACAAAAACCTAATAATAATAATGAACCTCTCAAATCCCTAGGATGTATAACAAAGCTCTCATCAGTTTAGTTGAAATATCTACATTTTACTGATACAAGCTTATCAATATTTCTCAAGTCTCTTTCTTGTTTTTTCCCCTTGAATATTATAATCGACATACTGCCATCTATTATCTCTTTTAGTGGTAGCCTAGATAGATAAGTGAAAAATGAAACTTAAGTAAGAATCTCACTGCTGTGTTTATAAATGTGGTCCTTACATATCATATTTGGTTGCTAATTCTTGCATAATTGCTGATTGAATGATCCCTTAGATTTTAGGGTCCAAGATAAAAAATCCCTTGTGATCTCTACCATCATTTAGATGGTTTTCATCTAAAATAAAATCTGATGATCCTTGAATTGATATCAGTGATGTATGACGAGCTAAGACGCGGGAATCTTAAGTACCAGAAGATAATATTCAATTTGGAAAACACCATATATATGATTATACCAGGAGGAAAATCCTGAAGGAAAAGTTCGGGAACCCAAGAATATTAGGGCAGAAATATTTGAATCAGAGTCCAAGAATATTAGGAAGATAGGCATAAACAATGAGATGAAGAAACATCGATGATAAATGTACATTAAATGCACATCCAGTGGGACTGGAAAGAGATGGAGGAAAAAAATTTAAAAAGACAAAGAGAATTGTAACACTTATTAAGATATAAAAATCTGACAACCTATGAGAAAAATGGACAATTCATAGATTAGATAATATGCAAATTGTAGAACTCTACACAGTGCAGTCTTATAAACACTTGACCTAATATATCACCTGTTAGAGCTTCAAATCTCTTGCTCATTTCAATTTCTTAACAGGATTTTTCACTAAAACCCCAAACTGAAATCAGTATAAGTTATGTGGATTTGAGCTGTGGTAATTCTTATTTACAAGCCAAATTAAAGTAGAAAACTAATTCTTGATGTTAAGTATACAGATCATAAACCAAGTATTTCAGGGCAAAGGGAATTAAATTAAAAAACACTCAATAACAAGAAAGTTAAAGGCACTGGAATATGACAACTAAGACATGAGAAAACAAAGCTAGTCTTTCAAACGAATGCCAAGACATCAACCAACTAACCCAACTAAAGTTTTCCCCTTCTTTTTCCTTAACACTGATTGAAGTTGACAGCCTCAAAATGCATTCATTAGACAAAGAGAAAGACTCTGTCTTGAGGAAAAATAAAACTTTGTGTTATGAAATGAATATTTATATCTCCCCCAAATTCATATGTTGAAGCTCTAACCCCCAGTGTAACAGGATTTTAGGATGTGGCCTTTGGGAAGTAATTAGGGTTAAATGAGGTCATGAAAGTGGGGCCCTGGTCCAATGGGATTAATGTCATAATAAGGAGAGAAATGAAAGTTTGTATTCTCTTTTCTGTGCATGCAGAAAAAAAAGGATAGGTAAGCACACAGAAAGATGGCCGACACCTACAAATTAAGACAAGAGGCCTCAGAATGAAACACACCTTCTTTGCACCTTCATCTTGGACTTCTCAGCCTCTAGAACAGTGAGAAATAAATTTCTCACACAATCTATGATATTGGTATGGCAGTCTGAGAAGACTAGAATACTGCTCAATTAGGTCAGACCCTGAAAGTCTTGAGCAGAGGTTATCCTTGGTGGCAGATGAGAATTATGGGAATGTAATGTATCTGAAATGGTCTCCTGCAGAAATAGTGTGACCAGGGAATTAGGTCTAACATTGCTTGGATGGCAATGATTTTTGAATTTAGAATACAGCTTCATTTCTTTCCCCTCAAGCCTACTGAAAACCTAATGGAGAGATTTCTAGACTCACTGGTTTCTTGCTCTAGTGACTAACTGTTGTTCTGAGTAAACAAATTGCTAAGGAGCACATATTGGAAAGTAACTACGGGCAACATTCATGAGGACACAGAAGGTAGTTTTCAGTTATACCTTTTCTTGGTTCTTATCGTTCTTCTCATAAGGGCCACCTCCGCCTCCTCCACCTCCTCCTCCATCACCTCCTCCACCTCCTCCATCTCCACCTCCTCCTTCTTCTCCTCCACCATCTCCGGCTCCACTAACTGAAGGGCCCCCAAATCCACAGGAACTTCCAGATACTCCTTTGAACTGGAAAGTTCCCTCACTTGGTCTTTTTTCCACAGTCTCATTTTCCTTGTTTTCACTCTTCTTTCTGTTCTTTTCTACACAGGGCACAACACCAAGTTGAAGCAAGCATTCAACAATGTTTAGTGCCACATCACAGATGCGAGAACTGATGTCATGGTTAAGGACAAGATAAACAGCCTTCAGAACCACCTGGGAGAAGACAAAAATAAACAGAAGGTGGCTAAGTTACTAGGATTATCTCTTCCTGTATAGATTTGTTATTCTGTTTAATCAATTTCCCTTAGGATGTTCTACAAACTTGAATATAAATAATTTAGATAATTTTCAGATGTTTCTAAGTTTTTTTGGAACCTTGTTTATGTGCTTAATATAGAATACAAAGCACCCAAAGAATTAAAAATGCATATGTGTATTATCTCACTTAAGTATTCCCAAACTTGCCATGCTATAGAGAGTTAATGGGGATAGTGAAGCATAATGAATTAAGGGGAGAGTAATTATTTGCCCAAATGGAAACTTGCTCAATTGCTTTTTAAATCAAAGTATTTTAATCTTTTTCATTTTACTCTCTTCAATAATGGATAAAGAAAAAATGATTTCCTTATGCACATAATGGAACATTTGCACGTTCACAATTGTATTATTATTTACCCTTCAACTTTAAATATAAAATATTTTCATTTTTAAAGTAAGTCCTTTCTATTTTACTATTTTAAGTTATTTGCTGAACCAGGTTCCTTAATGTGAAAAAAAAAATTTTGTGAAATATAATTGTAAAATATAAGAACCCTTTCATTTGCTAATTACTATAATCAAAACAAGTATACTTGAGAATACAGTCTCAATATTTTAAATATTTTATTGGACTTGTTCATTTTCCCCTGCTACACAGGAGGTTTATAGTCATGTTGCTTTTATAACAAAAGAAAATAAACTGAGAATTTTTTTACTCTCATTCTAGAAAGAAGGAACTTAGCAAAACCCTCACATTAATATATATTTATATATATTATGTTCAGGATTCACTAATCTTTCAGGGTTAAAAATATTTAAATCTAATGTAATGCTCAAAAAAAAGGGAAAGGTGCATCTAAGAAGGTTAACACATTTGTGAAATTTTTTATATGGGTGCCTTTTTCATTTTAACATCCAACATTTCTAAGAATTTATATGCTCATTTCACACAGCATAGTAAAAACTGAACCAAAGAGTCAATATCTATAAAGCTTCAATAAGAAAAATTCTTGTCCCTTACTGAAAGATCAAGCATGCCATTCTTGTGAACAAAGTTATTGGTCCCATCAATGTGGTCTGTGTCCTCCAAGTAGCTGTAGTTTATGCAGGAGTCTGTGAGGCTTCGGGGCAGGTTCGCACATGCCAGGGGTTCATGTGGCATCTCTGGGATAGGCACCTGGTTGCAGAGCTTCCTCATATGCTCATTGAAAAAGTCTGCGTAGCCTACATTGAATGATGCCAATGTGGTATTGAAGGTTGCGACTGTGATAGTGGAGATCTGGGATCTCACTAATAAAAGGAAAACAATGTCTTAGTGTTCTCCATGTAAATTTGAAACATCACATTAGACACTTGTACTATTATTTAAAACAAGACCACAATCACAGGGGTAGCATTTACAGATATTTGACTTATAGTCTCAGAGCTATTCACAACTCCCATGGAAATGCTGCAGGTGTTATGACCATGTAATGAATACCTGATAAATGATGAAGGATATAGAAGAATGTGAATTCCATCTGGCCTCTTTAAGACTCAGGCTAGAATTTTACTTTTGTCAAATATGTGGATTTTACCCACTGTTAGATGACAGACCTTATTAATATAGTTAAACTAGTGTAGTTGAAGTATTTCCCTACAAGTTTGTGGCTGTTTAAATATTTGGTTTTATCTAGTATATTTAAGCAACAACAAGTATTCTTTTTTCTCATTTTCTTTGGAGTAATGGACATAAATCTGTGATGGCCACTAATGGTGTCATCAAATACTTGAAATACAGTCTAGGGAAAGGAGGGATGAATTTATGCTCACAGGCTAAGAGCACAGATTAAGAACCGTCTTGGATTTCACTAAGAGACATGTTTGCTCACATAAAGCACACAACGCATTTATCTGAAGTGGAAGCTGTCTGAAAAAGGAATTGGTGACTTCAGAAGGCTGTGACTTCCCTTCTGCTAAAGGCAAACAAACTCTTCAGAGGGACATGACAGAGAGGAATGAAGTCCTGAAGCTAGCTACCCTCCAAGTCTCATCTAGCCCTGTGGGTCTATGATCTTTGAAAATAAAGATTTATGGCGTGCCCTTGCTTTCTGTCTGAGACAGACGGGCTTCACACTGTGCTGTCCAATAGCTCTTACTACTAATGGAATTCTAAAAATGGGCTACGAGTCAATTACTAAGCAATATACACGAATGCATGTTTTGAGAAAGCACAGGGAGTCCGATGACAATGACAGTGGAACATGGAGTAAAAACAGGAAACCAGAAAAGGAACCTGAACTCCCGCCTGCAGGCGCCGCCTCCGACCCACCTTCCTTGACGGTGTTCTCGCCGTGGCTGTTGGAGTGGTCCGGCAGGTCGCTCACCAGGGTGTGATGGGAGTGCGAGTGCCTGGCACTCAGGCTCTCCATCTCAGTGGCTGCGTCAGAACTGCCCCGCCGGGTGAATTTCCCTGAGATGAGCAAGAGTAACACAAGGTGGGGGGAGGGGTTAAAATCTGCAAGACGCTCTGCCGAGATTTTGTCATTCTGAGAGGACAGCAGTGAGAGTGAGGGGGTATTAGGGAGCTTGTGAGGTACAGCCAAATCGCCGGACTTGACCTTGCCTTGGGAATACTCAGGATCAAGAGGATGGATGAAGTTGCCCGTGACAAGGTCAGTCCCAATCTAAGCCAAATGTCAGAAACCATCTGTTGGGCCCCAGCTAGCTGTCAGCTCTTAAATTTAAGCTAGCCTTCTTAATATGTCACCCAGAGAGGAAAAAAAAGTTTCCTTCTCTCCTTTGCTCTTTCTTAGCATTCAAGTTAAATAAATTGTGTCTTTGGATTCATAATGAAAGCTAAAGCCCATGACCCTCTATGGCTATGCTTCCACATCCAGAATATTTAAGAAATAGGGCCATTACCTAATTATATAAGAAGTCCTCAATAATTAATTCAATTTTCTGAATTTCTTTAGCTGTGAAGACACAGTACTATTTTGGACTGAGAAATCTCACATTTGGGCCCACATTTCTTGACTAGTCAAGGAAGATCCTGGTTTGCCTGGGAGCCCTAGAAACAGATTCCTAAACAGGTCACTCAAGCCCTGCCCTACTCTGGAAGGTCCTTGCAGTCACCTAAAATGGTGGTTTGCCAGCCTCCTTTTTCAATGCCTCGCCTGTCTTCTCCAAGCCCAGAGAAACTTCCGAAGGAGAACGTGCTGCGGGTGGGGGACACATCCAGGTGGTCCTCGTGAAGCAGGAACGGCACTCCCATCCTCCGCGGCCTCCTCTTCCCTGTGTGGTGTAATGGGATGGAGCCTTTCCTCTCTCGGTCTTCTTTGCGGCTCTTGAACTACGAGGGTGAAAGGGGAAGAGTAGGGCACAAGCCAAAGGAGAGGTTCTAGTTTGCTTCCCAAGGGCTCCCTGACCTGCCATAAAACACAGGAAATGTTCCAGGAAGAGGTGACCCAGAAAGTCACTGAGTATCATAGAGATGGAAGACATTTCCACAATGTGTTTAAAGAGTGGAAAAAAATTAAGCAAAAGGTAACAAGTCCTCGAGGTCTTATTGCTGGGTTGAGTTAGAGAAACGCTTCTCCAAGTGTGGTCTTTGGACCAAACACATCAGGGTCACCTGGGAAATTGTCAGAAATGCAGATTCTCCGATTCAACCCAGAGAAACTGGATCAGAAACTCAGAAGGTGAGGCTCAGCAATGCATGTTTAATAAGCCTTTTTGGTGGTTTTGATACATGGTAAAAATGGAAAACTACTGAGTCACAGCATGGGATTCCTGAGTCACCATTTGGACAAGCCAGTATTTTCTGTTCCATTTTTTAAGATTGAAGTCAATTGCTTCAGCCAGACAACGTCAATGTTCATAAGGAGAGTCAAAGGAAATGCGGAGCATGTATTGGTATACACCCATTACTGCTACCAGTCAAGTTCAAGATCCAGTATAAATAAGAGTTTAGAATTATTTAGGAAGCTTTTAAAACATACCAATGCCTGGGCCTAACCTTCAGCAATCTTGACTGAATTGGTCTGGAGTCAGGCCTGGGCACTTGAATTTTTGAAAGCTCCCCAGAGATACTCATGTACAGTCAGTATTGTAAAGTTCTTTTTCTCCTACAATGGTAGACATTTTTAGAAAAACTATGACCATTTCCTATTATTGTATATCAACGAAAATGGACATGGCATCTTCCTTAGCAATACTCTGAGCTCACAGATGAGTCAGTAATAGGTTCTGTGTTTTTCATGAACATCATTAATCATTTTGAAAAATAGAATATGAAGCTGTTACACATATATTATTTGACACATATTATTTTCTATTTGATTAGCTCCACATACTTACAAAAAAAGAGACACTGAGTAATGGAGTCATTGGAGCATGAACTAATATTTAGTTAAATGACCTAGTTTTGAGTTTGGATTCCACCTTTCACAAACTACCTAAAGTCTGTAAGACTTGGTCTCTCTCTCTCTCTCTGAATAATAATTACATTTATAGAGTACTTACTAAATGCCAGTAACAGTAAGGACTTCACATGCATTATCTCACTTAATCCTCATAACCTACTGAAGTAAGTATAATATGTACACATTTTACAGATGAAGAAACTGATATATGGCTTTGAAAACCATATATATCATTTAGAATACTGATACATTATCATTTGGCCAAAATCACACCGGTTGAAAGGGGCAGAGCTGGAATTTGAACCCTGATCAACTGACTCCCAAGTATATGCTTTTACTACTTTGCACTAAAGATGTTACTTTTAATTTCCCATTTGTAGGGTTCTAACTCCTTGAGGATGCTCAATAAATGTTGAATGGAAACTTACACTGTGACTTAGCCTGCTGTGGCAGTAGACTAGTGGTCTGCTATAAAGATTTTTTTCTACTTAATTAACAAAGCTTAGTTGTTTTGTTGTCTTTAAAACAGAGATGACCTCAAGGACAAATGTTCCATGATATTCCCACCACTCTGAGAAATGAAGTAAGACTCAGTTTCTTACATGCAAAATGGGGAAAATAAGAATCTCATAGGATTGAATGAGAGAACCATTTATACAAAGTGCTTGATAAAATGAGATGAACCATAAACATGTATGCTACCCTCATAGCTATCTCAACTACTTCCACCATCACACTAGTGAAAGCACATCATTAGCATTGAGCTTTGTAGCAACATTCAGAATGAGCAGCACAAAGGCGCACAGAGGTCATGCTGCAAGCCAGTGTTACACCTGTGAGCTGACTTCTGTTCCCTGAGGTCCCTTTACCATCCCATACTGCAGCACAATCAGAAGCACCTCATGTTTTATTTTTATTACCGAAAGCACAAGTGGCTCTACTCACTTTCTTAAAAATGTTCATGCCGAGGTCTGAAGAAAGATCTGGAACTGCAGACCTACGGAGATTGGTCAACGAAACCTTGGAAAAGGCCTCCGGACTGAGAGATTTTTCCTCTTCATTACACTTCATGGTGAGGTCCTTAATAAACAATAAAGGGAGACTTAATGATCGAGGACTTACGGTGCTATAGCCAAATAAATACTTACTGAGATGTCATATTTTTACTAGAAATATGCCTACTGTATTGTTATCTATGAAATATTTAACTGTAGCCAGACTTTCAGAATCCAAATTCTGGGTAATTTCTGAGGAGATAAATTTATAATAACTTTAACCTCTGTTTGGAGTTGTCAACAATAAGATCATGAAGCTCCAGATTCAGGAAAGCTAAGAAAATAGGGATGAGAGAGGTATCTTTTTCTCTTCTTATTAAAAAAATGTGGCTTTCCATTCAATGATTCACCAAAGGAGATATTTACTTTGGGCATAATCAGCAACTACGAAAACAGAGTATATTTCCTTTACTCTCTGATATTGCATTGCTCATGTTTATTTTCAGCATATGCAGACTTTTTCAGACACAGTCAATTTACATTTAAGTAAACCCAAACAACTGGAACACACCGCTAATCACACTTTTCTCTACATATTCAACACATGGTGTAGATGAGAAAGAGGGACAGAATAGGTATTCAAGTTGATATAAGGATATTAATTTATCAAAAAGTGATTTTTCAGGGGACGTTATCACATCAATATACAATAGTTTATAATAAATAGCAAGACTATATATCAAAAAACTATATTCCTAATGATGACATTGAGGTAATAGATAATGTTGAGTTATGCAAAAGAGGTTAAATCATATTCAGTAAAACTCTAGCATCACACATTTTGTGATATCAGTAATCAACAGATTATATGTGAAAACTCTCTATTAAGTAGTGCTTTGATTATCTAAGGCCCAATTTTCCATTATTTCAGATCAACAGAGGCTTACTCTAGATTAGTGTGTGGAAAAGGCATTCAGATAACACTCCTTTGAATGGCAAATTAAATGCTAATGAGCAGCAAAAGGGTCCAGCAGTAAAAGATGGAAGGGAAAGGGTAACAATATCACAGTAACCCACTGACCAAACAGTCAGCGCTGGAATAAGTAGGAGCTGGATGCACAGAAGAAAAAGAGAATCTGTTATGACCAAAGCTGTTGATTCGAATGACAATGGTCGGAGTCTCTCTTACTTGGGTTTTGTGCGTATTCACCAGTGAGGGAGCTGCCGCCACCATTGAGCTACTCCTGGGTCTGGGCAGGAGAGGAATGTCTGGTTCTGGGGGCTTTTCTGGCTTCTCCTCCAGCATGTGTCGCAGCCTTTGCAGATAGTACATCAGAGACCACTGAGTGCCTTCCTCAGACCAATGGGGCTGGAGTAGGCAGCGAAGAACTGCAACATCAAAGTAGGTGGCATAGCGGGACCTTTGGCATGGAGGTATCACAAGAGAGACCCTGTTTCCAATGGCAAAAAGATGATTATGTTGGTAGTTACACACTCCAAGGGGTGGCACATGGCTTATCACTCTGTTTTTCTCATTTGTTCATTTACTCATTTACTGATTTTCTACTGGTTTACTCTAATAGCCTCCTGATTGAGCTCATTCCATTTTTGCTACACACTACCTGGAAGTACAGACATCAGAGAGTGGTAGAAATAACCCAGGTGGATGGCATTTCAATCAGAGGGAATAATGCCTACAAAGGTACAGAATTTTTAAAACATCATGAATTTGGGGCCAGTAGGGGAAAATCACAAATAATTGATATAGCTGGTGAATAATTTGGGTGGTGGACAATGGCCAGAATCTATAGACAGAGATGAGGCTCAGATCATATCATTTTTATTAAACTAAACTATGAGGTTTGACCTTCAGCTCGATAGAAATGGGAATGCTACTTGTGTACTTCATTGGGCTATTTTAATTTCAATGGCGATATTATGTTAATAAGACAAGGAAACTGCAAATATTAAACAAACAAAAGTTATACTTTGAGGGAAATGAAACTATTTTGAAAACTCATTTTATATATCTATGTAATTTAGCAAAACCAATTTTTAAAAACTTGAGATATAAAGATTCTGGAGTTCTATTATTCAATTTAAACATGTGACATATTAATTACTTAGTCATAATTTAAGTGTATTATAAAATAGTTTTAAGCAATTGCTCAGTATAATACATCATCCTAGGGGATATGAACATGAGTAAATTTAACTTCCTTGCCTTGAGGAACGTATGGTCCTGTGAAAATGATAGAAAATAAATAACAAATTATAAATTTAGAATGTCTGGGATCCAGTATGTAATCTTAAATCTAAACTTAACTGCCAAATATAATTTCTTCCTAAATTAGATAATACAAAAGTAAAATTTTTGTATCCTGCTACCAACTAGCAAATGGTGCTACCCACACATGAAGAGCTTAAGGAAAAAAAAAGCAGCCACTTAGAATAAGAGAAATTTTCCTAAGTTTCCCAGACCCATATTTTTTTTAAATGAAGGTTATAATCCATTATTGGTTCAAAAGATTAATTCAAAAGGATATGACTGCTATTAAAATGATAACCAGAATAAAAACCATCAGAATGTAACAAATTGAGTAAAGATTTGTGTGGTTGGTGAAACTTTTGTTTCACTTCACATCTCTGTCATGAGTCCTAAGTCCTTGGAAAAATTTCATTTTCAGTAGAGAGAAGGGAAAAAGAGGCTGATAGCTCCAGAATAACATCAGGAGTTTATTAGGGTACTTACGGATAAAAGCAGCTTCTTGGGTGGCAACAAAATTGTAGATCATAGATCTCCACACCCAAAAAATGATGGGGCTTGTTATACATACCCAAGTGGCAAGTATTAACACAGGTTGTTTGTAACTACTGCTCTATGTGATTGTTAAAAGCAATATAATCCAAAACAGTAAACTATTTAATGGGCCCACTTAGCTATGTAGAATATTCTCTTCAGGTGATAGGGGCCCACCCTTCCAGGGTGAACTGGCTTCCTGCCTAAGATAGTGTCTGTCACTTTAACACCCGAAATCATTTTGCCTAACATGAATAAAATGTGTTTTTTACTTTGGGTTGCAGTAAAAAGTTCAAATATACAAACCCAGACCAGTTCCCAGTGCCCTGTGAGTCATTTTCATAGCCTTTCAACTTCTCTGTCAAAGTACTTGTTGCATTTCTCTGTTTCTACGGTCATTAATGCTGTCATTAGTACCATAGCCTGGCCTACTGAGAGGCAATTGCCTTTGGACACAGTGGTTTTGCATGTCAATGATATCTTGTCTAATATGCTTGAATATTTTAGTTTGACAAGTAGCAAACTAAATATGTTAAAATTCAGTCACATAAGGTGCTACAATACTAATTATTTAACTGAGTTGGCAATCAGATCAAGAAGAGAAGTTTTCTATAACCAGCTAAGTTCCCATATATGCTATGCTAGAGTTCATCTATTTTCTAGGGAAGGAGAATACTCTTCAGACATCAGCTGCCAGGCAACTTTCAATCCATCAAAGAATCCCATAGCTTATCCTTCCAACCACTTTTCATCAATACCGCAGACACCAACGTTTCTCACTAGGGATCCTTCTAGGCTCATTGCTTTTTCCCTCCTTCCTCCACACCTCTGCACAAACCCTTCCAAAAGACTGAAAAATCCAGCCCTCTAATCACAGGGTTGGTATTCCAGGAAACCAACCCCTAGCCTCAGGTGCATTCCAAATGTCATCTTTAACATAACAAAAGACTTTTTTTTATCACTCTGAGCCATTGGAAGTTCTAAGGGTTTTAGAAGACTTTGCCAGTTTCTTACAGAAAATGCTATATATTTCTTATATATGCTTATGTAATTCTTACTATAAATTACAATATCATAAATTCCAACCAAAATTCCAAAGGGATTTATGTCATAAATCAACAGGACTGTTCTTAAATTTAACTGGATGAATGAATAAAAATTTGAGAGTAATTAAGAAAGATTTAAACAAGATTATGAAGAGTATAAATTGCCAGATATTAATCATGTTTTACAACAATATATTTAGCCAATGTACTACTGATTTAGGAATAGACAGGGGTTCAATGGTATACAATGTGGAGCTACAAAATATTCAAATATTTGTAAGAATTTAATATATAAAACAGATCATGCATCAAATTACTATAAAGGATATATTTGTCAATATATAATATTGTCATAATTGGCCTACTCTTCAGAAAAATTTAATTAGGCCTATATTCCTCAAATAAAATCAAGAGAGATTAAGATTTAAATGCAAACATATGAAACTATAATAGTACTAGAAAAATATTTTGGCTATTTTTTATAATTGTGGCATAGAGAAGAACTTTATAATGATGAAAACAGAAGCAGCTTGAGGGCAGGAGCAGTCTGTTCTCTGTTTGGGAGTCTGTTTCTATTTTGTTTTTTAGTTTATTCGGTTCATTATATTCCACATGTTTCACTAAGTAAACAATAAAAGTCGTTTTTGGTAATGGTAATCAAACGTCTATCTAATTAACATGTGAGAGAAAAATTTACAAAACTGACTAAGGATGTTATGGGGACAGTTTATTGTATGATATGATGGAAATGTTCTTTCCAACTCTAATATCCTATGATTTTACAAGTTATTTGGTAGAAAAGCATAAAAAATAAAGACTTTATTCTAAATTATATATGTAAAAATAATGAAGAGTACATATGCACAAAATTAATGTTTATACCTACCTAATGACCTCATAGATGATATTCATTGTTAAAGAAATACCTTTTAAATTTTCATATGCTATAATTAGCATATACTTTTTTATATGCTTAGAATAAATAACATGCTATGACAAAAAAAAGACTGTTGAAAAAAGTAAGAATTGCTTTAATCTATTTTCCAAGTAACTGTGGGTTCAGGAAGCCAAGCTATTATTATTTGGGGTTGGACATGCATTTAGGGGCATCCAAGGCAGCACTTTGGAAGTAATCTACTGAGGTAGAGAGCTGTGGAAATCAGTCTTGACCCCATGTAGTATTTAATGAAGCAGAAATTAAGTCTATGCATACAATAATTAAAGATGAAATCTCACATTAATTTGAACAAACTGGCTACCTGTTCACTGATTTCAGAGTTCAGGGAAGAGTTATGTTCAGTTTAGTCAAGGTCAGGGCAAAAGAGATGATAAATTGGATTTGTTTGATATAAGCAGGCAGCTTTTATTCCTAGGATGTATGACTTGCTTTGTTATTATAGTTCTCTTCATTTCTGATTAATACGTGAACTCTTCCAATGAAGATATATTATCATTAGCATTTTCTGAAAGGTCTACCTTGTGCATCATTTCCATGGCAACTAGCCACTGGAGCTAGGCAGAGAAAAGACCTAATTAATTCTTCTGAAGTGTCATCATTTTATATCTAATTCACACATACATGTGCAGTGGGTGATTGTGTGCATATATGTGTCAAAGAATGCATATATATGAAGATGTTTAAGTATGACAATATCAAAGATGGAAAAAACAATGTCCTTCCAAAAAGCGTGACCCTTCAATATTAGTTGACTTTGTCTTTACAGGCAAATCAGATTAGGGTATTAACAAATTTTATCAAAGAAAAAAACAATCACTTGATATTTATATTTGCAAATTCCCAAAGCTTACTATGGTTGAGAAAAATACAGTAAGATATATAAGTTCCTGAATATGACCTTAAGATTTCCCCCTGATATTTTTAATAATTTTTAAAAGTCAGACAGAAGCATAGTATTTGTGGTAAGAAATTCCTTACACTTAAATAAAACTTTTTAGAATATGTGCAGAACAGAATTAGTAAAGGAAGAATATGAGGATACTTAATAATTGATATGAAGAAAATGCACGGTCATAATAATTATCATATATAAAATGATGGTGACATTATCATTACTCTTGGTTGAAGCCAGCCTCCAAAATAGGCCCCAATGGTCTCTGCCTGTTGGCAGTCACGCCTTCGTGCAGTCCCCTCTCACTCTTTACCACGGTTGGCTGGTGCAATCCATAGAATATAGCAGAACTGATGCCACATCTCTTTAGATATTAGGTTATAAAAGACACTAAAACATTTATCTTGGTTGCTTCTTCCCTTTCTGTAATAATGTGTTTTGGAGAAAACCAGCAGTGTCATGAGCAGCCCTATGGAGAGATCCTGATGGGGAAGAACTGAAGTGTTAGTCCTAAGTGAGCTTGAAAGCAGCGTTCAGCCAGCCAAGCCATTAGATGACTTCAGCCAGGGCCAGCATCTTGAAGACCCTTGGCCAGGACCACTTAGCTAAGCTGGTTCTGGCCTTATGATCCTCAGAAGCTGTGTGAAGTAATAAATCTCATTTGTTTTAAGCTGCTAAGATTGAGGGTAATTTGTTATACATTGACTGATTGCTAATACGAATTGTGGCACCAAAATAAAACCCTAAATTTTGGA